TCTTTAGAAACTATATTGTTTCTCCTCCAACTTTTCAGGAATGATCTCTTCACAACTCGGTAAAAAAATTGAACAGAAAGGACCATAGTTTTTGTTGCAATAAATATTCATAAAGGACAAAGGAAGAATTGTCTATTTTTTGCTCAGTCTCCCAATGAAGTGCTTAACTCACCACTGACTCACTAAATTGGTCTTGAATATATTCGGTGTGCTAGCACCATGTTCAGTTGTGGGATTTCTGCTGCAGGAAGGGAAAGGACCAGTAGCAGTAAGCATCACCTGAGGAATTGTGTTCTCTGCAGGCGTCAGTCAGACCCACGTGATGCCTGAAGGTCTGAAGCACACTGGGAATGAGGAGATACGGTATTCATAGCATTGCCACCCTGAGCAGCCATGTCACAACAGAATCACAGAGTGTTAGGTTAGAAGAGATGTCTGGAGGTCATCTGGTCCAACGTCTGCCCAAGCAGAGCCACCTGGGGCAGATTAGGCAGGACTATGTCCATGTGGCTCTTGAACGTTTCTAAAGAGGGAGACTCCACAACCTCTCTGGGCAATGTATCCCAGACAAAGTGGAGTTGTCAGTTAATATCCCAGGGATTCTGTGTCAGAATAGCAATTAAATATCAAGTTCATCACAACTCTGCTTTGGTTTTCAAGGGAAAATTGTATCCTCAGTTATCTGGCTGAAGGTGTTCTGTGGCAGAGAGCATTCCTCTCCTCTGTGTGCACAGTGGTACTCCCAGAGTCTGTAACAGCAAGTAAAAGTACAAACTTTGGGGTTGCCCTAACAGAAAATAGAATTTGTGTGGTGCTACTACTTGTAACAGAATCTGGATTAACTATCTGCGTTCAAAGAAATAATATTCCATTGTTCCGTTCTTATCTGAGCATTGTAGCCTATTAAACAAAACTATAAATACAGTCATCAAGAAAAACAGCTGTAAGTTAGATGTTAAATAGTTCCAAAAATAAAGAAGAATGTTTCTGATTAATTTTCTTTTTCAAATATTACCCTAAATGGTATTGAAATTTGTCTCTTAATCAAAGAAGTCTAAAATATGTGCAATTACACTTTAAAAAATTAGAACACAGTTTGCCCAGAAGATAAATAATTATGGTTCAATTTTATAAATGTATCTCCAATTGTTAGAACATACTTTAAATGGGAGCAAGTATGTACCAATTAATTATAACTTAGAAGATTATTCTTAGTTCATTGTAGAGCCTTATTATTTGCTGTTGAAAAAAATCCCTGTAAAGGCACAGCACGATTTTAATTAATTTTTTTCTAGCTGTTTAAATTTTCACTTTTTTCCCAAAGTATTTAATTTTTAAACATGAGCTCTGCTAGCCACATATTTCATTCTCAGACTCATATCTGTTAAGCAAGAAAAATAAAGTTAAGTAAATTGAATCAGTGTTCAAATAAAAGCCATTTAAAATGATGCTTTCAAAAGTTAATCTTTATTTTTATTCTTCTGAAGCATCCATCAATCATGTTAGTTCTTTAAAAATGAAAGCATCCTTGAAGGCCCAGATTAGGTTTAATGTAACAAGGGGATACGTTCTGCAGTGTTATTTCTTAAGCAGTATTGAAACAATAGTTAATTTTATCCACTTGATTCAGTTAAAACAGTGGGCTAACGTTCCATGTGCTGATCCAATGGCATGGAACTGCAATTTTGGAAAAACATTTTCCATTAAGCTATATAATTTAAAAAGACTATAGACTAGGGAGGTTTCGCACGTTTAGATAATGATGAAATACTGGCCCATAATGATTTCAGAGGAGAAAGAGCAAAAATCTCTACAAATGGAGAAAATTCAATTAGAAGGCTCTCTGTTGAGGCAATAGTTAAAGAGAAATTACTTTGGGGATATTCACATTTTCATAAACAATTTTCATTTCCACAAAAAAGAACTCACTGTCTACGGATCTGATTACAGAACTCTCAGAGGAGTAATTTGTAGCTTTTCATAGTTGTAAGTTTCATGATTTCTAAAGATAGCACTTTTAAAATCAATATTTGTTTTTTGATATCATGGCTTGTGGGGGGTTGATTTTTTTTTTTTTTTTTTTTTTTTTTTTTTTTTTTTTTTTTTTTTTTGGTACTGTCCTAGTGACTTATTCACGGAGACCTAAAATTTTCCCTGGAGTGACTGCAGAGCTGAGAATATGATGACCAAATTCAGTTGCAGTCACAGTAGAGTTTTTTTAGCGTGAAGCCTGGAGACCAGATTGCAAGCGTGGAATCAGAGCCATCACTTGTCTAAGTCCTTCCTCCTTCTCAGAGTGTGCAACTGAGCATATGTTCCCTGACTTTAGTCCCTTCAGACATAAGGAGCATCCCTTAATATGGCCTTGCTGGAAAAGCCTGTGGATTTGATATGTTTTGTTGCAAATTGAAACAATATAAACCTCATGAGTGAGGAATGCCAACTTTTCTGGGGTTCAAAGCATCTGCTTTGAGTTACCTTTGTTGCTGACTGTACCCAAAAACAGAGTGACCCTCCAGCATACGGTCCCTTCAGCACACACTTCCTTCCTACCTGAATTAATGGCACAATCAGCCTAAAAAGAATTGCCTTTTCCAGGTGCCTAATGGTTCCTTAGAGTATCTGTTGGCTAAATTGCATCTCTTGCAGCAAATGAAAGTATTTCTTCTGGCAAAGCTCAGCAAAAACTACATGTGCTTTTAAAAATTGATTTATTGTTTGTGTGTCAAGATATAAAGCCCATCTGGCAGTGAAGTAAGGATTGGCTGGGTTCAGTTGTTCTTCATATAGGATACCGCCTGCTAAGACGGAGTTGGGACAACCAGTTGTTGGTGCCCTACTTTCTTTAATTTATCATTTACTCTTATGTTTCTTTCCAATGTATTAACACCTAAATCCCAAATTAAAAGGAAAAAAAAAAAAAAAAAAAAAAGATATTAGATGGTAAGTAAGTTGTTCAAGTTGTTCTGTTGAGAATCATTAATGTTTGAAATATCCCAACGATGGTGATTATGTGGGACAGCTGGGGGTGGGGCTGTTTTCACAGTGATTTGGTGGTGGGAGAAGAGGAAACAAACAGATCTTGAGCCATGTCAGGATTTATAGTATAACACCAATCTGCCTTGGCTACATGGCAGAAGTTCATTACAGAGGTGAGCCATTGTACCTCTAATTTTTCCTTAGAAGGCAAAATTGGGAGTATGTGGTAAGTATAATTAGATGTTTCAAATTACTAGGAATTTTATAATCGGTTCCATTTCTCTTGCTTACTCTTTTAGCTTGTCTTTGGAGAGTTTTCTCTTGAATAAGTATTTGAGTTTGACTGTGTAAAATGCAAAATACCTCAACAGTAATACAGAAAGCCCTGTGAGGAAAAATTCTCCAAAAAGCAGCTCTATCATGAGCTTTGTCCACTCTGCATAAGCAAAATTCATGTGGCATCTGCAGATCTGATGACTGCTTACCAGAGAACAAGAATAAAACCTCAAAATCTAGCTTCTCCAAAAAAGCATAGCAGAAAAGCAGTGGGCATTGATTACCCAAGGGTCTTCAGCCAGGAGGAGAAGGGGGTCCACTTTTTCTTTCCAGTTTGCTTTTATTTAGCTTCATATTCTTCTTATTTGTTTTCTCAAGAGAGGTCATAGCTGTTGGGACTGGTTAACTCCTTAGAGGCAACAACAGTCTTCATCCCTTCACAATCATTGTTATATAGCCTCCTGCCTCCAGAAGTGATGAGCAGCCAAAGCTTCAAAATGTTAAAAACAAGGTTGTTCTCATTTTCCATGGATTCAAGCATGATTGAAAGGATCAGCTGAAGCTTTTTATTTTTATTTTTACAAAAGCACCACTAAAGAAGGCTGACAATAGAAAGTTTCAGTGGGAAGGTTTTTTTCTGGAGGTCAAATAGACCAGAGTTAAAGAACTTTTTTGGTTCTTGAGTCATGTGTACTCCATGGTATGAGACATTGGCAAAAGTCTTAAAATTGTGATGAAACCTTCTTTCTGTGCTGTGTAAGATTTGACATCAAATTTTACAGTGGAAACTTAATTCTCTATCTGACTATATTAGTGCCCAGATGATGACAGCAGTGTTTTGTACTTCTAGATTCTCTGAAGAGGTCTTGCATGTGAACTTCTAGAAGTGATTAGCTATTAGTAACTAGAGAATGGTATTTTGGTACAATTTTTACCAGGAAATGAAGGCTGAGAACAGGCTAGCTTTACTTGTAGGAACACCCTTCAGTTGCAATTGTTTTAACTTCTATGCTTGTATAGGAAGCATAAGCAGAGTAGGAAATTGAAAGCTCAGCTGAGATCTTGTTAGGAGAAAATGGTATAAATGGACATCTGATGTAAGTTCTGAATTTGGCTTCAAGAGGCTGTTTCATTGAACTGTAGTCTGAGTTTATGTTATTGGAGTAACATATTGTTTTACTACCATCCTATAGCACAGTGGTTTTTGTATTAGTGTTAATAAGCTGAGTAAATGACCAGATCTCTACATCTCTTTACTCCTGAAAACATCATTTTTTGGATATAATTTTTTCTGGATTTATATGTTACTGTATGAAGATGAAGCAGTTCGCAGCACAAGCAATGAGAACTGGTCATCTCTCATTTTAAAACCTCTGTACTAAGGAAAGAAGGAGGAGTTCTGGCACAGAGCCCAGCAGCAGGCTGATAAGATCCCATATTAATTTGCAGAGCTTATGTTACCTGTCCTGCAGGTTACATGATGCATTACACGTTGATGAACTGGACAGTTCATCAGTTATGTTCTTCTGTCACTATGACAGAGTTATGAAAGGAATAGCAAACATGCATTATCTATTAGAAAATCCATCAGGATGTCTAAGAAAATTTTTGTGCATTTAGTAGATATAAATGCAGTTTTGCACAAAAACAGGTGGAATCTCCTAAAAGTAGTGATGTTCTTCCTTAGTTTCCAATATCAGGAGGCTGCTTATTTATCAGAGTGCAATTGCTGATTTCTTTTTCAGAATCCCACTTAATGTGAGAGACATTGTCTACTGTACAGGAGTTTCACTGATGGATGAAGATGTATGGGAGTTCATTTGGATGAAATTTCATTCTACACTAGCAGTTTCTGAGAAGAAAATATTATTAGAAGCCTTAACTTGCAGTGATGACAGAAACTTGCTTAACAGGTAAAAAAAATTATGTACAGGTTTCTATTTAAATTTTCATGTTATTTTATTAATAAATATAAAAAATAAAATATTTCATTTCTGAATTGTCTTATGTTCATTAGCAATGTTTGAAATCTTATAATTTTTTTTTTAATTTTGTTGGTATACTCTTTTTGTAAGTGTATTGACCAGTCTGATCTTATTGATTTCATAAAACTATATATGGAAGATTCTACTCAGCTTTTACTGAAATATTTTGCATCCCTCCAATTATGCTACCTTTAGAAGTACCGACGTTCAGTACCAAAACTCAAGATTCATCTGATTCATAGATGTGTCTGGTCTTCAGAAATAAACCACAAAACTTACTTGGAGACTTAAACAAATCATTTGACAGTGGCTATTTATTTTCAGAGCTTTTAGATATGCTGTTTTTAGAGTATGTGTTGACTGAACTAAATAGGTTTTTTTTTCATTTTTTTTCCTACCAGACTTTTGAATTTGTCTCTCAACTCAGAAGTTGTCCTGGATCAGGATGCAATTGATGTGATAATCCATGTTGCTCGAAATCCACATGGAAGAGACCTTGCTTGGAAGTTTTTCCGAGAAAAATGGAAAATATTAAATGCCAGGTAAATATTAAAAAAAAAAAAAAAATTATGTTCATTTTCTTGTTTTTGTGTAGTCTGTGTAAGTATTGTATGTGTATATATTTATGTGTGTATGTTCCTGAACCAAATCCATTCTCTTTTTCTATGTATAGAAATGTATGTAAATATGAAATACATACATGTAAGTGACAAATACATTTATTCTTATCACACCTAGAAACATTTCTCCCTTAATGATCATCTGTATGTACATCTATTACTGTACTGTGTCTGTGCTTAAGATAATGAATTCTGCCTGTGTGTCAAATTGCTGCAATTTTACTTCTACATAGATAAAAAAGCAGGAGTTCCCAAAGGAATTTAGCTGGTTTTGAGTCTGATAGAAAAAAATCTTTTCAAGCACAGTAGTTCAACTGCCATTGAGGACGTGGAGGGTAGGGAACAAAGCCAAACTGTTTTCTGTTTTCAAAAGGATTTCTGATGCTTTCCTTCCGTGCTGTGTTTCAGTTGAGTTCTAAGTAACTGAAGAGCAACATTTGGAATTAAATATAAATGAGCAGGAAGAAGATAGGTTTGCTCCTTATACCATGAGCACTATGAATCCTTTGAATATGTGCAACATGCTCCTACTCAGATGCATAGTGAATGTTTGAAATTCATTTTTTGATGAAGATTTTGATATTAATTCAATAAATAAGAAGTTTATTTAGTTATTTATGAACAGCCAGATGGTCTGAAAGATTTCACAACTCATGCTGACAGACTAGAAAGGACCATAGCTCAGATGAAGCTGAAGTTCTCAAAAGCAGATGTCCAAGAAATTAGGACCTCAGACTAGGCCACCCTCATGGTTTTGGTAGATATTGCCAGACGAAATAGGAGAACTGTTCTATTCTGGACCCATGGGAAGCCTTCTGTTGTACCACAGAGTATTTTAAATGATGCATTTAAAATGCTGTTTTTTATTAACTAAATCCTTCTCCTTACTAACTACATGCGCGAACTTCCAATGTTTCATATAATCAAAAGAAGAGCGAAGGAAACTCAGAAACTATGCAACTTCCCCAAGAATTAAAAAACTTGTTCATGCTGTTTTGGATGATATTTTATAGGTTGTAGAGGAAGTTTGGCTGGGAAAGCAGGTTTAAGCTGAAACTTGGTTTGGGGAATTTACATTGCAGGAGGATATTTTGTGAAAGCTGTAAGACTACTAAGAGTTTAAAAATTAATAGTCCTCCACTGCTGGTTTGATTATTCTAGAACTGGACTTTTACTCAGAAAGTTGATGGCAAAACCATTATTATTATGCAACCCAGTGCAATTTAATATGTTCAGAGTAGCAGCTTGTATTTTTTCTTCCTTCAGGGATTCGTATAGGGATTTGTGTCTAAACTATTTGGGCATAAATTTGTCAAAATTTGTATTGGGTACGCTCATCTGACAACCTAGCTAACAGCTGTGGTATTAGGCATGGTCAGAGTTAGATGGTGTAGACAAATGGACTTAGAAAACAAAGTTCAATGCCAGATTTTTTTTTTTTTTTTTAGTGTGCTTTAATTTTTGATAGCTTATCTGTGCTTAAAATTGTAATTTTATTTATCTCTCTTGGTAAGCATTGCTTTTATCTGAGCTCATAGCAAAGGCCTCATTGAAAACCTTTTAATGGCCTTTTTTTTTTTTAAATGAGAAAATAACAAAGTCTATCTCTTTGCCCAACACTGACTTTGTATTTCATAAAGAGTTTGATCTCCAAACACTATTCAGAATCATCAAAAGGATTGTAGCAGTTGCCCTTCGCCCTGTGCATTTTTTTCTGTCAGGGACATCCAATGGTGTTTCTATAATTGCCGAAGGATTCAATGCAGTGGTGTGAAATGCTTCGTACAAGCTGCACTTACACAGTGTTTACTGAAAATAACTTCAATTTGTAATTACAGATTAAAATTTTTTACGAAAGTATTTCAGAATGAGGGATTGTTCTAATGCTTTATTCCTTAAAATATCCAGTGAAACACATAATAAAATGCAGAATTAGGCTTCTGATTTAAGCTTGCTACACTACTACATTTTTAAAATGCAAGCTTTATTGCTGAATTATAGCTCAAGTGTACTCTGTCTCAAGACATTTTTTTCTACCATTATAATTAATCATTTAATTTTATGTAAAACTATAATACTCTGTAATAAACATTAATTTAATAAGGTGATATCTCTATGGTATTTTCCATTGAATTTACTAGAGAAGATGTTGATGTATGAGATAATAAGAAATAGCTGAGGGCAATAGAATTATGCTATAATGATATTTCCTTTAACTTTAAAACACCATATATCTGGCTGTCATTCCAACTCTTTGATAATGCCATCCCTTCTTATTTATACATCATGCTTGTATTCACATTGCACGGAAGATATCAATAATGTCTGAAGTCTTTAAAAGCACTCGTGCTTTTACATAGGCTACCTACAAATTAAGGTGCCCAGTCTTTGTGAGAAGTCAGTGGGAGTAAGTCTGTAAGGATTTAAAAAATTCTGAAAAAGAGAACTGAAAACATTATGCTCAAGTTCCTATTACCTGAGCAATTGGACTTCTAAATTATTTTGATCATGCATGCACATAGTGTCTGTGTGTGAAAAATTGACAGCCACCTATAGGAATTCCTCCTTTCCTTTGTAAGTCATTTCTCAATTTTGGGAAATTTGTCAATAACTGGGAAACCATTTACGTCTGTCCAAAGTGGATGGAATATGCTACTTCTCAGTTTCAGTTCAGACAAACACAGAGCCTTTACAATTGTAAGGAGTCAGAGGATCGCTTCTGCAGAAGTAAAGGAGCAGGTGGAGAGCCCCTGACTCGGGAGCTGAAATGTTTAAGGTTTTGCTTCTACGGTGCTGTTGTTTTTTCCATGAAAAGTAGAAAGACTGATATTTGCAAGATTTCTCACATACATGTGTGTATTTTTGTTTCACACTTGCAAGATGTCATTTTAGGCTGTAGCTGTACTGTAATTTTTGCCATTAGAGCCCATTTTATAATTGCTATTAGTGACTGACTTTGTAACGAATATACATAATGGTCAGTTTTACATGAAGTTATAGTTTTCAGTGGAAGGAATTTTGCTACTTTTTGTTCACACTGTGGATTCAGTAGAGAATTGAAGAAAAATAAAACCCCCCAAATGGTTTTTATGAGGTCACTTCTGTAAAGTGGGTTGGTAAACTTGTCAAAAGACTCCATCAAAAGGAGGTTCCAATTTTCCAAGCAGTCAATTATGATTCTAAACTGAGAACCTAATAATAAAGGCTTTTCCTTTGTTAGGAAGCATAAACTTGCTTAAAGGACCATGAAATCCATACTTCCCATAAGAGGTGTTTGCCTCTGGATGACTCTATACACTAGTGTGGCTGAGGTTTTAAAAAGAGACGTGTACTTTCTGAAATATCCATGAGTAATTCAATTATTAGTGTTCATAGAATAGGATTTTTGATCCCTGCACCAGTGTTTCCCTTCACACAAGCTGAAGATAGAGAGAAACAAGGTATATGCCTTCCTCAAAACAGAAACTTCTCAAAAAATAGCATTTCCCTTCTCTCTCCCTCTCTTAATCCTCTCCCCATGCTGTCCCTTTCCCTTTCTCTCTTCCGTTTTGGAAGGACTGTCCGGCTTACAGTAGCCAGGTATGTAAGAGTAATTAATTTCAGGCTAATAGAAGCAGAACAGAAAGCTGTGACTGTGCTAGTTCATTTCATTTTGAACTTTGAATTCCTCAGTCATTTTGTAAAAGCAAGGTTTGAACTGAATTATTCCCTCAGAGAAACTTAATTGCAGTGAGGTCTATTGGCATTATTTCTGCATGTCTGACAGGAGAGCTGAATTCCATATCTTCAAAACAGTCAAGTTCAAATTAGCTACATATTTCTTTGGATATATGTGCAGATAAAGATAACTATTTGTGAAGTGCTTCTTGCTGTGCTGAATGACAGCTAACTTGAGAAGAATTGCTTTTGGTTTACAATGAAATTGCATACACCATACTGAAGACATTAGAAAAAAAAAAAACAAAAAAAACCAACAACCCACAGGCTATTCCAACACGTGATGCAAAACTTCAGGTGTAATACTGTTTGAGTTGCTTTGTTTGAGAAGCTGAAAAAAGCTTGTGGAGAACAAGATGGAAGGATAGTATTTGAATGGCCAGTTTCAAAGCAGCTGCCCACAGAATGCCATTGCTGATTGTTATTGAACATCCTACCCAGCTACAAATCAGCTTTTAAATATTCATTGCCCAAACTTTTGAATTTTCATTGACAAGTTGATTCTTTGAAGATGCTACATGATAGCCCAGGGGATTATTTTAGCACTATTATTTTCTATCAACATTGTTTATTTTAATTATCTGGTACTGGAACAAGAGGATTTGATTCAGTTCACTTATCCAGTGGTTAATTGTAATGCAGATGACATGGATAAATGGAAAACACATTTAGCTGCAGCACTTCAAAAGTCTTTTGTGATAGTAGAGCTAGGAGGGCTCCTCAGAATATTTCTCCATAGATGCTGCTCTTCTTCTTCAATAGCGCTTGTATTTTGAGCTGCTTGGTGTCATGATGTGGAAGGCTGTTTTGTTAAACCTGGGATGTTTTTCCAATTTGGTCCTCTCCCTCCTTTGGAAATCTCATCTCATCCTTTGGAAATCCACATCATGTGTGGGGTTAAGCCCATTCTGCTTAATAGTGGCTGACTAAAAGTTATCTACTATTGTATTGGATCTCCAGAATTGATCCCATGTCCTCTCCCTTGCGTAACAGAAGACTACTTTCTCAATTTCATCTGGCCTGACTTTTGCACTCACTTCATGCATCTTTTTTGCCCTTGCAGGTATGGAGAAGCATTATTTATGAATTCAAAGCTTATCAGTGGAGTCACAGAATTCCTTAATACCGAAGAAGAACTAAGAGAGGTAATTTTTGAATGACTTCTAGACCATGAGGCTGTTCTTATTTTAAGGATAAAGCAGGGCAGGAGCAAGAATGTGTTAGCAGCTGCTAAGGTCAGAGAAGCTGAAAAGGACTGGCTTTTTCACTTTTTAACCCATAGAAAAGCTGTTGAAAATAAGATTTAAATACACAAGGTGAATTTGGCATCATCAGGAAACAAAGGTTTACTAATTGTGAATAACAGTGGCTAAACCTACCTGATTTTGTACAAGTCAGTATAACTGGCAGTGTACTGTGAAGAACAGCCTTGTGGCTCTCACTTGAAAAGAACAGTAATTCAAAGCACACCAGTGCCATCAGCTATAATAGCCCAGAGGCTAGGGTCATAATTTGAGTATACATGAGAACAAAGTAGAGACCTTTCCACTTTGTTGAAAAAGGATCAAAGTTTTATCATAAGGGAAAGAATCTGTTTCAGGCTTTCATCAAATGCACACTACTTGCTTTGTTGCCATTCACTTCCCTCTGTAACCAGCCACTCCTTTTCTAAACAACCAATTTACATTATATAATCAAAAGGATTCTGCAAATCAATTTAGTAAATAAACTCTTGAAATAAATTTGATATAAAATTTGGTTAAACCAAAGGACATCAAGGCTGCATTCTGCTGACATTTACAAATAAATCTGGGTTAGAGTCTCTTACAGTGCTTCCAGCTAAGTTTTCTAGGTAAAAATATAAGTTCGGAACGGACCAGCTGTCTATGCAGTGCAGCAACTGGGCTACAGGAGAGAAAGAGGAAATGGTGTTGTGATCCAACACTGACATGTCAATACCTTCCAGTGCCATTTGAAGCATTTACTTCATACATAATTGACAATCTACTGTCTTATTACATTTCCTATTAAATCCTTCTACGTGATAGTACATATACTTCAGTAGTGATTACGTAGATTTGTCCTAAATGCTTGACTTGTTTATGTGAACTGGAAATCTTTGCTTTCTTTAGTTCTTGCAAATTTAACTTGTTAAATTGTATTTCCAGCTAAAGAACTTTATAAAGAGTTATGAGGAGGGAGCTGCTGCCTCTTTCTCTCGTGCTGTGGAAACAGTGGAAGCCAATGTGCGGTGGCAAAGACTTTATAAGGAAGAACTATTCCAGTGGTTAAGAAAATCCTTGACACACTAATCTGTCTTTCCAGCTGAACTTTTAACCAGAAGCACTACAAAAGGAAAAGAAGTTTAAGAAGTGATCAGCATTAAAATCATGAAGACAAAATCAAATTGCAGGGAGTTTTCTTTTTCTTTTTTTTTTTTTTAATTATGGGTTGTTTTGTTTGTTTGTTTATTTTTTACACCGGGCTGTTTTGAAACTGTCAATAAGCTTTTCAGAAGAAAAGGTCATGAGTGCTTGTGAAATCTGATCCTCAGTGTACACAACCAAACATGATATTAAGTGGTGCATGTAAATGTTGAAGAAAAACTAGCAAACAAAAAACCCTTCAAAGACTATTTTGTGCATGCTTTTACCGTCTCTGCCTGTATTCTAGCATGCTTATGTATAACAGCCACATTTTATATGTGAATTCCAGTTACGTCAAAGATGGGCATTGTACAAAGCACAAAGACTTCTCTACGACAATCAGTGTTGCGATGAACAAAAAGAAGGGAAGGAAGAGGAAATGCAGAAGGATTCCATCTTAGGGCAGTATGAGATATAGATTCAGCTTTCCCACTAGCTGCCAATTACTCCACCATTTAGACTGTCTTTTGATTGTCACAAAGGTGCCAGCTCATTTTTTGAGTTGCTAGTTGTTGTAGCTGCAGTTTCCATATTCCTGTATTTAAATTATCATCTTGGAGGGGAAGAGAGAGAGAAAATGAGAGAGAAGGACGTCATTCATTCATTCATGCGCTATAATTATAAATTTATTCACTGCTGATCAGTGAAACCGTGTAACTTTAGCTGTGAACATAGTCAGTTTCTATGAGGAGAACTTTGCATTGATTTTATAGAATCCATGAATCACTTCTTCTGAGCAAATTTACAAGGCAGAGATATTCATGATGGGTCACCTAACCTGTGCAGTAATAACTTACACAGCTGATAATGCACAAATATTATAAGTCGACATAGGATTTAAATGGAAATTAGGAAAAGAGGAGAATATCTTCCATTCAAAGACACAAAATTAACCAACAGCTGTTTCCATGCAGTAGACCAGCCTCGGTAGTGATTTACTAACAGACAAATCCTGTGCTCTATGTGGGTAGTGTCTTTGCAAATATGGATTGTGCCATTTATGTCAACTTAGAAAACTGAAATATGGAGAAAGAAATGTGTTTGTGTGTATTCGTATAAGATAGTACCACACAAACACAGTTTTTCTCTTTCCTTGTATTTCACATAGAAGTGTTCTAAATGGGTGATACTTTTCTTACTTGCTTGTTTCTTTTTTCTCAGTTTTTAATTTGAGTGGTCAGTGATGAATTGGAAATTAGTTGCACAGTGCCCGTCTGCACCATTGGTGCTATTTGATGAGGACAAAACTGATTCATCTTAGGGTCTAATGCTCTCCTCTCCGCCGTGGAGGAAGATGAACAAGCAGAAAATTAATAAAACTACTGAGTCTACAGGAGGCAGGTTGCAGCAATTTCAGAGGGTGGTTATAGATGTATAAAAGTGTTTCTTTATCACAGCCCAGTCCATTACAACCATCTGATCACATCATTGCCTGTATACTGGAAACATGTGGTCAGACAAATTAGAGGACGCACATTTTATTGTGCTGTTTCCTTCACAGGGCATGGAAATTATCAAAATGTTTTTACACTATCAGTTTCTTAACTCTAGTGAGTTGTTTGTGAATTGAAATATTATTGCAAAAAAGAACCAAAATCCAGCATCTTCATTTATTAGATTTATTAAGTTGTGTGGAGACAGTATTGATTTCTGGGCTCACATTCCCATGCCACTCTCTCCCTCAAGAACTGGTAAATATCTCATAACTAAGCTGTCCTACCACTATCATGGGCCTATCACCCATTTTGAGCCTCTTATTTTGTGTCATTACCAGGGTACTCTTTGCAGACTAAGTGTATGAAACGCTTGGGTGGTCATCTGCTCCAGGGTACGTTAGCTTGACCACATACAATGAAAGGAAGGGGTAATCCTGTTCTCTTGTACTGTTAACTCTTTGCCTTATAGTAATCCCTAAACCTCTGTGCTGTGTTGCAGTACTAGTGAACCTAGTGCCCAGAGGCGTTATTGTGTCCATGTTGAATTAAATCCTCTTCCTCCTCCTATTTTACCTACCTCACAGGCATGTTGTGAGGCTTGACTAATGTTAGCAAAGCTCTTGAATATCCTCTAAAGAAAGGCATTTAAAAGTGCTGAGTATTATTTTATGTGGTTGACCAAACTCAGCCTCAGTGCCACTATGTAGCTGTCACACTTTTAATTTCTACTGAATGAAATTGTATGTGGATTTATTATTATAAAAAAGCAAGCCAAATACTCTTTATATTTGTAATGAAGCCCGAAGTTATAATCTCCAAAGAGTGCACAGAAAGCCAAGCACTCAAACGTGAGTTACTTTGGGGATTTCAGAGAAAAGAAAGTTGAATAATGGTTTTCCCATTTCAAATTCTGTTCAAGATTGTCTTTGATGACTTTTGTTTTTCATCACCACAGACTAAGCCACATACCTCCAGACTGCACATAGAAGTTTTAGGCCTTTCCACTGATAAAGGGCAAACTAACAATGCGTTTCAAAGTTGAAAATTTAATTCAGCCTGTGTATTCTGCACAGTGCGCAGAAATTTCCATTGTTCATTAGAATTTAAGTTCTTGCACATTTATCTAGTTTTGGATGCAAATTAATATTGTAGTGGCCTTGAGCAACTGGTCTATCACAAATTTTAAGCCCTACATGTATGTATTACACATACCTATTGATGTATTGCTTATAATTGTTGTATTATAATGATGTTTGTATTACAACTCTAATTAAGGTTGACTTAGTCTTTCCATTGTAATTCTCTATTCTTTTTATATTTTTTATTTAAGCTGTTTCACACTGAATCAAGATGAAGTTTAAATGGACTAAATCCAACAAAATTATAGCTTTTTTTTTTTTTTTTTAAGTTTTTTACAATATTCAATACCCCTGTATTTAATTATATGTCTTAAGAATTTTTTTTCTGTAGGAAGTTTCACACAGCTATGTGTTAAAAGGATAGTTGATACCTCATGGGAAACTAATAGTCTTCTTAAAAAAAAAAAAAAATCTATTTATCTGATTGATATTTTTTCTCCTTTACCAGTCCTTTTCTTCCTTTGTCCTCATTTAAAGATGGGCACATTTTTATGGTTTGGATTAGGATTAATAAACCAAATACCCCAAACTTCTTAGCATTTTCAAATACAGTATGTAAATCTGTTCTTTTTTGTGAGAGGAGATGCTGCAAAATGTGAAACCAGTGTGGATGTGTCCCTTATTCTAGCTTAGAAGTCATTTTATAGAGATTTGATGAGGCCTTTGCAAGACTTGAGATTCCTTGCACTTACTAATTCTTATAGCTTACTAAATCATATACGAAGGCATGACACGATGTTATGCTGTCATAATAATATGGCAACCTTTGTACTTCTTTAACACTGTCCACTACAAAAATTCTCAACTTACTACTTTGTAGCTGGTAGAAATACTATTCTTATATCCTCTGCTGACAGCTATTGAAACGATAGTTGCTGCTAATTGTGGCTAGAGCAGAACAATGAGGAAGTTTGCTTCTGAAATGAAATGTCACTTCTGCCATTACTGAGAGTACTTTGAACATTAAGTTTGACTGATTTAGATGGAAAAACTTCGTATGTATTAAGTTCTTTCAAATTTGTGACCTTTGATGATCTTTTCACTGAATATAGCAAGAACTCTGACACTATGATGGGAACTGCAGGTGAATTTTATGTAGCTTTTTGGCTGTTGTGGATATTTCATTGATTTCATTGGGTTTTAGAGTGCCAAAGGAAATATCACCACTGATGCAGAGAGGACTTTTCACAGCAAGGATCTTAAACCATACAACTAAACCTAAATCTAAATAGCAAAAAATAAAAGAAGAAAATGTTATGTGTATGTATGTATATGTGTGTGAAAGGTCCTCTGTAGAGATAATTTTCCCATAAAATGTTAGTCAGTCTAATTCTTTGGATAGAATAGAGTGAATATCTGATGAAGAGGGTGGCTTTGTTTAAGTACCTGTGTAATAAGATCTTTGTTTTCCACATGACCATAGTCAATACTGCAGTCAGAGAAAATAGACTGAGTCAAATGTGAAACTTTCTCTTTGAGGAAAAGCAATGTGTCTTTGGAAACTGTTTATGTATGTAACCAGTTTACCACCACTTCTGATACAAGTACTTAGCATATCAGGCCACCTGTCCTAAAGCAGGGCTTATAGCCGCAGTGTCAGTATGAGTGTGAAGGAGTAAAAACACTGTCCTGTTGCTAAGCATCCTGAATACAGGCTGTTCTCCCAGCCTTACGTTGAGCAGCCTGAAAACTGCAGGCTGTATGTTCCACTGCCCATGAGCCTGCCTGCATCAGGAGGGCAGCTGGAGTGCAAAGAATCTCAATCCAAGTTTCTGTCAGCTAGATGGCAGGGACAGAAGGTCTCTGCTGGCTATGGGTTGTGGATGGTCTTCGGAGATTTGCTTCATTGCCTTGTGTGACCTTGGAAACAGGTCCAGCTAGTGAGTCTGCATTGAACGGAAAAATCCAAATCCCTGCACTGCAGCCACCACAGCCGGAAATTGTTGACCAAAATCTTTGTAAAGATCTCAAATATTGTAGTGTCTGTTGTTGAGAAATCATTTCAAACAGTCAAAAAATACATTAAATTTTCAAATATGCATTAGAATGCAGACAATCTTTATGATATTTTTTGTTAATATTGAGAATGTGCCATGAGTTCAGCCCATTTTCTAACATAGGATTTGGAAAGATGTCACTACAAATTCTTTGTGGTTGTAATAGTACTTACTGTACTAATACCACCAAAAAATTCAGGTGTCTGTACAAACGTATGGCACTGGTGTCTGTGCAGTTCCCTTTTTACATGTAAAACTTTAAAAAATGAGCCATTTTATTTTTCATGCAACTACAGGAGCCTCTGCCTATCTTCTGAAATCCAATAAAACCACCTTGACTTGAGTGAGCGGTCCCTCCTGACATAAGGAATTCATTTTTCAAAGAGAATGAAGGAGAGGAAGGCAGTGTTGTGCATGAAGATTTTTTACTGAAGTAAGGCCATATGCCCTGGTTGGAGCAGAATTTTAATGTCAAGTGTATTTTGAAGAATCTGGTGGATCTGGAGTGCATCTTATGTCTTCATGCTGGCAGTGGAAGGCAGCTTCACCACAGTATACCCTACATTGTAACACAGTTGAGGTCGGCTTGTATAAAACACTTCATATGTGGAATGGTTTCAGTGTGACTTTGTGTTTAAGGAGAACCACCCACATGCACAAGTTCTGTGGATTCGGAGCTGGTGTTCTTTCTCTGAAAACAGCATTTATACTTTCCTGATTCGTATTGAGTGATTAAGTGTGGAGTGGTAAAGAAATATTGCTGAATACTTCGCTTATTTTATGTACACTGTTTATAATGGAGTGATGTTGGGCAGCACGTGGATGGGCAGCGCTGTAAGAGTATGCAGTGCAGCCAGGGTGTGAGCCACAAGGCCCTACCATTTCCTGCTCAGCATTGTGTGGGTTTGCCTGATAAGGATGTCCCTGATGCAATGGAGGAGGCCAAGAGTTGAGATGCAGTATCTGTTCTGTGCAATCCGTTTTGATACAGGTAATTTGTTCATCTCTGTAATTTCAAAATGAAGTCTCACTGAACTGATGGCACACGTGTGGCCATGGCTCCTCAGACAGTGCAGCATGAGATAGATCCCTTGAAGTGACCAATGTGAACTGCAGCTGAGGATCTAACCCTTTGCTGTCAGAGCAGCCCTGAGGTCCTGAGGTGCCTGCTAGGCTGGTGTACAGACTGATTCACATGTTTGTGTGTACGCTTCAGTATCACGTGTTTGATGGCAGATTTTTTTGTTTAGTCTTTCCTTTGCTTTTTTTTTTTTTTTTTAAATTAGAGTAATACTTTGCGATTGATTCCATTGTGATAAAGCTTTATAATAAGATGTTTGGAGAACTGCAGAATACTGTATTGTGAAGAGTGTGGCAATGACCCTCTCTTTCCTGCAAACAGTAGATTTCAGCAACGATGAAGTTCCCTGGACGTTCTGTGGAGAAACATTCCGAGCAGTTCCTAACGGAAACATCATTGTAATTACTGTATTACTATCATGTACAAAGACAGCTTTATTATCTGTGTAAATGTAATTTTGCTATGTTGTTTTTATGTTCAAGGGACAATAGACTTTGGTATGGGTGAGACATACAGCCTTATAAAAACAGAGAGTGCAGTTTCTGTCTGATGTTTTACTGAAAGGTGTTTGTTGCTCTATTTTTGAAGAAGATAAACACATACATAAACTATTTCCCTGAAAAGTAATGATCTATTCCACTACATATGCTTCAATGACATAATGGACTATAATATTGAAAATAAAGGCTTGGTAATAAATTGCAATTTTTCCCAAGAGACTCCACACGTAAGATCTTTTGACACCTTAAGAAGAAAGAAAAAGTCCGGCAGCTATTAATGCTGGTTATAATGGATGAATCCCTCTATTAATTCTGTCTCAGCCTTAGATTAATTCTGAATACTGTAATTAGAAGAACATATTTTTCCATTACTTCTCAAATCTGTACTCTTATGGAATTCAGTTCTTTGTCAAGTAAGAGGTGGAGCTCGTTCAGCTGAGATATACAGTTCACTGGTAGTTTCACACAAATAAGTGTTTGCAAGATCAGAATGCCATTTTCATTTATAGGAAACACAGATCACTGCATTATGTCAGTTTTGTCTCTATGTACCAGTTGTACATGCATATATAGCTTCTAATTCTGGATCATTTGCTTTGACAGAGCTATCATTGCATGTTAAAACTTAGACCTCTCACTTAAAAGTGTCAGCTCGGCAAAGCAGTTGACCACAGCTCAGCCATGTATGTAGGCAGCTAGGCAGTACCCCTAATTTCTGTGGATCATGTGGTTCAAATTATGTAAAGCTGGCAAGTGATGTAGTTACTGGTTTCAAGCTCAGAATATAATGATGTGGTTTTGCTCAATTTAGAGTCGTTAGTTTCTTTTTACTGAGCTTTTCTTGTCTTTTCATTTTTTGTAGGAAAACATATTTTGCATATAAAGAGAAGATATTGATTCTCAGTTATCTAAAAATGCCGATTTTAACAGCGTTTTTCATTTAGTGTTTGAAACATCCTGGGATTTGGGAATATGAACAAAATTATTCTTAGAATGTTAGTTAATGAATATACAACGCTAATCAGCAAATTAAACCACTAACAAGATACAATATATGAATTTATGTTACAGTTTACCAGAACAGTGTTCTTCTATGATATGCCTTCAAAAATGACTCCATAAACGACTCTCAATATAAAATTTTATTCCACATCAAGAACTGACTAAATGGATCTTTTTTTTTTTTTTTTTTTTTTTTTTTTTTTTTAATGAGAAGCTTTATCTTCTGTATTTTTAGCAGAACAAATCTGAATTTTGTCTCTGATAATAAAATTTTGTACAGGAATGTGTAATTCATCACTGTCTTAATTTTCTGACGTGGAGACACAACTAAGATAAATAATACCCAGCCTTTTGATTATGTTCCCATTTCAGTTGAGATAACAGTTTAATAATGCTGAATAGATACACTGAGGTTTTACAAAGCAAAACGTGCAAGAAAATGTATTTTTTTGACAAGAGGAATTTTTCAAAGCATTATAATGCTGAGACTAGTAAAAAGCAGAGATCCTGAGAAAATACAAAATTTGGGCTTGGAAATATTTTTAAGCTGAGACCAGAATAGAGAGCAGTGCCTGTCTTTTGTGGTTTTCTAATTATGTGAA